TGTGTGTATGTATGTGTGTATGTATGTATGTATGTGTGTATGTATGTATGTGTGTATGTATGTATGTATGTGTGTATGTATGTGTGTATGCACGCACATCTGTGTGTATGCAGGAGAATATGTGTGTGTGAAGGGGTGCGTGTACATTTGTATACATGCACCTAGAGACCAGAAGACAAGCTCAGGTGGCATTCCATAGGTCATACCCATCTTCTTATTTTTTGAGACAGGTCTAGGGTAATTCATCAAATGAAACAATTTAGGACTGGTCTTTGGAAAAGCTCAGGTGACAAGACTCCATAAGGAATTTTGCTCTACTGTCCCAACCCTTCAGGAGCTGACCACTGGGCAAGGAGGAAGAGAATGTCAGTTACCCACTGACATCCATTTCTGGACCCTGAGAAACATTCATTTAACAATTTCTAATATCTGATATCTAATATCAATACAGAACTACATAGCTAATTTAATGCTGTTGAATTAGAGCTAGATTTTATTCTACTTATATTTTGTCATTTTAAAACGCAAGTTTTTTTTTTAAAAAAAATACCGTTCAAATACTGTTACTAGTCAAATCGGTTAGACTAAACTGGATGGCACACTCATTATTTACCTAGATGATTGGCCAGGTCCAAGAAATGTAACAAGTTTCGGGAACATAAAGACATTTTGTTGGAGAACACGAATTTCTGCTCTTGGCCCCGAGTTCACCGGTTTGGTTCAGTCTTTGATGAAGACAGTAAGGACAGCATCCCCAGGATCCTTGGCAATCAGAGAGATGCCTGCCTGCAGGAGGCTCGGTGTAGTTTCCAGGACGCCCCATAGAGGGCGGGCCTGCTAAACCGAAGCTCGGGTGCTTGTTCTTCGGAAGGCATCCGGGCGCGCTCCCGAGCTCACGTGACCAGGTCTCGGGGTCGCGCCCAAGCGCCATGGCGGCGGCCCGGCCAGACCCGGGTTCTGACCCCGCTGGCGGTTCCCGGTTCTTCTGCACAGCGGGCCGCGGCCTGGAGCCATTCCTGATGCGGGAGGTGCGCGCGCGGCTGGAGGCCACGCAGGTGAGTCGGACTCACCGTGCTCGGGGGACCACGTCCCCACCGGGTCCCCTTCTGCCGCCAGCTTGGGACTCAGGTCCTGGAAGGACTTGTGAGCACTCGGCGCCCAATCCTTGCGTGCAGTGGCCCAACCCGGGTCCTTCGATGACTGCTGAGAGCGACCGGCTGCTCTGGTGGTCTCGTTCTTTATCCAGTATGGTCACTGCACATCTGTCACAGCCAAAGTTTTAAACAGAGGGGTGCGGAAGCCAGTTTTGTCCCGGATTCCTATAAAAGAAACTATGAAATGGCAATCGCCATTAGTTAGAGTCCTTCCTTTATACCTTAAATGCAAGTATACCTTCCAGTCTTACTTGTTTGAGTCTTGTTACTTGACAAGGTTCGGTTCTACATTGTAGGATGGCTATGAGACATACCCAGTAAACCCAAACCACACGTAGTAAGCAGTAGCTAGAACAAGAACTCACTCCTGCCCGCCTCGTAGTTACCGGTGCGTTTCAATGAGTGACTAGTAAACGTAGGTCAAATGTACTAGAATATGCTAACTGGGTTCTTGAGAACATAGGGAAAGGATGTCATAGGGTAGGTCGGTACTTTTGTGTGTTATATGTACTTGGAAAGGGAAAGCTTGCTAAAATCAGACTAACTGCTCACCTCTGGGAGCAGTGTTCGAAGCCCACAAAAGGACTCTATGCCATGGTGGGCATCCAAATGGAGATGGAGGTGCAGGTGCAGTGGGGAGAGTTGCCAAGAATAGCATCAATCACATTAGACTTCTGAATTTAATCTAAAATTGTCTCTAAATAATAATCTCTGCATTCATCTAGGATTCAAGGTTTGTTGGGTGTTTTGTTTGGTTTTGAATTGTGTGTGTGCTCATATGAATGCAGGGTACTGTGAAAGCCTGAACCATCCCCCTGGAGCTGGAGTTACAGGTGACTGTGAGTTGTCCTGCATGGGTGCTGGGATGCAAACATGGATCCTCTACAAGAATAATACCTGGTCTTAACCAGGTGGATCCAATGATGTATTCAAGTCATGCAATTATAAAATGAGTGATATGCAGATTCTGAAATCCAGCATAACTATATAATGTCCAACCCAGCCACATGTGGCCATATGTATGTTGCAGGGCATTTGTTCACACTATGAACCCCAAGATTGTATTATTTACTGGGGAAAAAAACTGTTCCTAGTTGTGGTGTGACTCAGTCCTTGGCATATATCTCTAATCCCTCTGGCTGGAATACAGACACACCCTTAGTACACACCTTTAATCCCCAAAAAACAAAGATAAAGTGCTAACTTTATCTTTTTTATATATAGAAGGAAGCAGCCATGTTTGAAAGTGACATTTAACTAAATGGCAGACAAGGTGATGAATCAGAGAAAGATTTCACAAAATAAGGATATGCCCAATTCTCAAGAGAAGAGAGAGGAAAGGGAAGCTACTTGAGCAGGGGCAGAGAGAGAAGAAGAGGAGAGGGAGGAGAAGGAGGAAGAGGAGGAGCAGGAGGAGCAGGAGGAGCAGGAGGAGCAGAGGAGACAGTTTTACTTGGACTGTTACAAAGAAACAGGTTGCAGAGAGAGAGAGAAAAAGCTATACACAGGTGAAGAGAGAGGGAGCCAGAGAATGAGAAGGAACCAGAAGATTAGGACACATTACCAAAGTTAGTGTGAGGCCAACCAGAGCAATTCAGGAGATGCTGAGAGAGAAACCAGATTGAATCAGTCAATTTGGAGAGGAGTTTGAGGCAGAACAGCTGAGTTGAACCAGCCAGAGTTCAGAACTAGAAAGGGTGAGCTTATTCAGCAGTAAGTCTCAGAGGCTAACAACATTCTAGGCCTAGAATAGATTATACAAAGGCTAGAAGCTTTCAGGACTAGGTCTAGGTTAGCAGACAGAGGCATTAAGCCTCCAAGACAATTATATCTGGTAAATAAAAATTGCTTTTACATAGTGAGGCCCAGGAATTTGTTTTGTTAACTTGTCAAGCTTAGTGTGGAAATGACAAGGTGTCATCCAGTCTGGTTATTTAAGATTGTTAGAAAAAGTATTTTGTCTGTCTCCTTGAGAGACAAAATCATTTGAGGAAAACTTTCAACAGCAAATGAAGGTCTGCTTGTACCAGTAAGTGACCTTTTGCTGGGCTGTCAGGCAATGTGCTCTCCCTCTGGCCTGAGTAGGAATAAGTAAGTTCTGGGTAAGCAGGGTCATCTATAGTTTACCAAGACTTGTAGAATCATAAAAAGCGTCACATACAAGGCATTTGAAAAAGCCATGGCTGAAATAGCATTTTAAATGATGTGTGCTTTTGCAGCAAGCAGCTGTGGTTGCCACGTACCTTCCTCAAGACCTCCATGGAGTGTTAGGTATCAGGGCAGCCCAGCTGCACAACTGACTGCCTGCCCTTGATAAAAGCAGCCAGAGCACCAGAGAAGGGTCTAAAGCACTTGGAGTCAAATTTCTCCAGCCCCCAACACCTTAGCTTATTTAAAAGAAAAACAAACATTAAGGGGGTTATTTGTAGAAAATGATCTGCAATCATTGTTATCAGTGTTTAACAATACTGCAACAATAAGCGTACCTTCTGCCCCAGGGTGGCTTCCTCTGATCTGTCTCATCTTAATATCTGAGGATATTAATATCTAAGATGCCTCCCTCTACACAAATGCATGGCTGCTCAAGTCTATATACAACGTAGTGCTTATAACTTGCTCACGTGAACACTGCAGATGTCGGAGGGCAGTAATGCTATGTCAGCTGTTAAGCAAATTGTTTAGGAAATAATACCAAAGAAAGAGTCTGTGCACATTTAGTATTTACTTCCTAAATATATTCTGTCTGAGATATTGAATCCACCAAGGGGGTAAATGGAGAGGACCCAATGCAGTATGGAACCTACCCTGTAGCACTGAGCGAAGGCTATGCTATAAAGCCACAGTAAAAACCATAACATGCTAACACAACTTGATTTCATATAAAGTGTTCAGTTTTCAAAGCCTCACTTTTCTTTGGCTGATACTTTCATGACATCACTCAACTAAAAATAGCTTAGAGTGCATAGCAAACAATTGGTGCTCCATAGATGCTCTCCTACAAAATGAGTTGTATAAGGATACTTAAAAATCATTCTTGTGGCTCTGGAGAGATGGCTCAGAGGTTAAGAGTGCTGGCTGCTCTTCCAGAAGTCAATTCCCAGACCAATGACCATCTGTAATGAGATCTGGTGCACTCTTCTGGTATGCAGGCATGCATGCAGACAGAACAGTGTATACATAATAATAACTAAATAAATCTTTTTTAAAAGATCATTCTTGTGGTGAGAATAGTCTCTTAGAAATTTAGGTTTGCTGGAAGAAAATTAATATTCAAAACATCTGGATTTATAAAACAGATTAATTCAAAAGTGACTGTTTACTTTTAGAAGGTAATCACTCAATTTTAATCAGTGTCTTTATGACTTTAGTGAATGTTAAGACTCACCAGGGAAGCTTGTTGAAGGTGCATATTCTTGGGTGTTAGCCCCAAAAGGCTTTTCCTTCTGTAGGCTGCTGATGAGCCCAGGTGTTTGCATTTGAACAGGAAAACACCCCCTTCCCAGGGACTGTCACTCAGGTAAATCCTCCAAAATGCTTGCAGCAGAAAGCCTCCTGTGTATTCCTTTTGCTGTTTTTCATGGACACAAAAACAAACAGAATAATTTGGTGAATTCTCCGTGCTCATCAACCAGCTGCCTTAGAGATCAGTATACAGAGAGTTCTGTTCTATTCATCTCTCCTGCCACACGTCCAGCCCATGGGGTTTGTGTATCTCTAAATTATGATGTTCATAGCAGGCCGTATAGTGTAATGTAAAGTAGATGATGAAGGTTTTAAAAATGTCACCTTATCATTTACACAGCTAAAAAAATCATTCCTTATCAACAAATACCTAATTAGTATTCAAAGTTGAATTTGTTTATAATACCACTTTTGTTTTTAAGTTTGTATAATTTAATAGGGATTTAAATGCCATCCACACATTGTGATTGGTTGATAGACTTTTTCATCAAATGTATAAATTTACCTGTGTTTCTCTTGGAATTTTCATGTTAAAGTGACTGGATTATTTGCCCTTAAGCTAAAGCAATCTGTAAAGTGAAAGCTGTGTGCCTCATCATAGGCTTCTGTCACACTTCCTGTCGGCTTGATTAGTCACTCATGTGTGATTTCTATACTTTTTGTCTTTGCTGTTGTATTTACATTCCTTAAAATATATTAAGCTATTCTCAGCTCAACAGGACCAGTTAGCTCAACAGGACCCTCCATGGCTGTGCTATCCAATAGGATCACTAATAGCCCTATCAGTGGCTATTTAAAGTTAAATAAGAATCCACTTTTTCAGACATCTCGTTAACACTTCAGGTACTCATAAACTACACATCCTGTACTAGATACAAAGTTATCCTCGTCTAGACTCCCTGCCTATGATGGTTTGGATGAGGTTGATCCCTCCTAGGCTCATCTATTTAAATGTTTCATTCCCAGTTGTTGGTCTGTTAAGGAAGAATTAAGAGGTGTGGCCTTGTAAAGAAGGTGTGTCTCTGGGGATGGACGTTAAGGTTTCAAAAAGCCCATGCTAGGCCCAGCCTGTTTCTCTCTGTCTTCTCTCTCTCTCTCTCTCTCTCTCTCTCTCTCTCTCTCTCTCTCTCTCTCTCTCTCTCTGTGTGTGTATGTGTATGTGTGTGTGTGTCTTTGTGTCTGTGTCTCAGTGTACAAGAGAGGAAGAAATAGCGTGTTCTTGTCTCTGTCTCTCCCTTTTCTCTCTGGCTCCATCTTGAGGATACGATTTTAAGTTTTCAGCTATTACTCCAGCACTATGCCTGCCTGCCTGCCTGCCTTTCCACCATAATCCCCACTGTGATGATCATGGACTTGCTCTCTGCAACTGTAAGCAACCCCCAATTAAGTGCTTTCTTTTAAAAGCTGCCTTGGTCATGGTGTCTCTCTGCAGTGATAGAAAAGCAACTAAGATGCTAACATTTCAATGACCTGACCTGATAAGTTCCTCTATGTCTTGATCCTTTTGTATTACTATAAGTGAATGCTGCAGATTGAATACTGTATAAAGAAAAGAAATATACTTTTTACAGTCCTGGAGATTCAGGAGGTCAAGAGTAAGGGACCATCTCTATGAGAACTTCTTGCTACCTTCTAACATGACAGACAGCTTCCAGGGAGAGAAAGTAAAAGATCACGCAGGGGCACACTAGGCCCAGGTTCATGTTTGTAAGAAGTCCATTTCCTCAGGAGCATCAATCCACTGTGAGGCTCTGCCTTAGAAAGCTCCTGTCTCCGTACTGCATAGAGCATTATATTTCCAGCACAGAAACAGTGGGGGGTTTGGAACCCCAGGACTCCATCCTCTGTATTTCCTGCAAACTGGGTCCCTGTAATTTAGTCAGATTGAATCTTGCTTCCCATGTTCCAGTGATGGGATAGATGTCTTTAAAGATATATTTATTAAAATATTTAATACACACATTTAGATTACTCTCAGTGCAATATGACAATATGTAATGTCTTAAACACTAATTGGTAAGGATCATAGTAGCAATAGTTGTCTTTAAAATAAAACTGAATGTAGTGGAGGTGATGTTATACTAGCTAAGCAGAGGCTTCTGACTCATTGATCTTTACAAATCCACACAGCAGAGACTGTTAACCTGAACCTTTAGGAGGCCAAATAGTTTTTTGTTTTTTAATAGTATCACGACAGTGGGGAATAGTTAGAGCTAAGGGGGTTATTCTGTAGCTATTTCTGTGGAATGGAATGATTGTATAAGCCTTTTCAAGATTCTTTGATTTTTTTTTCTTTCAATTTAATGCCATTTTGAAAATTAAATGTTTTTAAATTCTGTTTTACAAAATGAACCAAAACTCTGTTAACACCACAGATGACAGTACTTTAAAAACCCGTTCAAGTCTAAGTAGTGTCAGTAGAGTGAGAAGTTCGCTGCCTCCCAGTGATACTGTGCTTTACCTAAATTTAACATCTACGAATCTTTAGGCTAAACTTGAGTCCATAAATTTAAAAGGAAAGACAAAAATGCTAACTAACCACTTATGCTAGCAAGAAAGGCCTCTCGCCTCATCTGCATAAGTGTTAGACAATAGACCAATTGGTTCAGACACTTCATTTTCATTTGATTCAAAATGGGAGATACAACTTGTAAATAGCCTTTCAAATAACAAATATTGAGATGAAAATGCTACATTACTCCACAATATTTGACCCGACCTGCAGGTCCTAGTTATTCATGGGGGCGAGGAGGACTACAACCTGAAAAAGAACGGGCAAGAGAGAGAGAAAGGACTCAAGGAAGCAATTGCTTGTCAAGAGCCATCTATTTGAACGCAAAGCGCCTTTTTATAGTATATTTTACAAGAGGAGGGGGTAAGAGGGGCCAGGTGGTGGAAAAGTACAGAATCTTCTTGGCCTGTGCCTTGAAACATTTCATGGTCTGTATGGTACACTGCCTTGAATTATGGTCTCCCTGCTTTCCTCAGAAGATACGGTACACTGCTTTGAATCTATCTGCAGCTGCCAAGCAGGATCTTGCGGTTGCCAAGCTGCAGGGGACATTGTGCAGGTGGGGAAAGGTAGGGGGTGAGGGTAAGGGCGAAGGTCCTGGCTTCTGGCAAATATTATAATTGATTATGATCAATTAGAAGCAATAAACCAAAGCCTAAGAGCTCCTCATGGGTAAAGGTGCTTGCTACCAAGCATGACAGTCTTGAGGTCAGTGGAAGGAGAGAGCTGACTCCACAAGTTGTCCTCTGACCACCACATATATACTGTGACATACATGCCCACACATACACATTCGAACAAACAAATAAAGAAGTAGTGGTAGCTGCTCTTCCAGAGGGTCTGAGTTAGGGTCCCAGCGTCCACATCATATAGTTGATAATTGCCTGTAATTTCAACTCCGGGAGACTTCAACACCTATGATCTCTTATGTCACCCAAACACATATGTGCTTATCTACACACATACACATAATTATAGATAATAAAGACACATCTTACCCCAAAAGCAATGGCAAAAGCTGGAGGAAAAGGGAAATATTAGCTTTAGCAGTTGATGAGTTCTTTTTTTGTTTGATTTGTTTGCTTATTTTGGTGTTTTGTCTGAATGTATGTTTGTGGGAGGTGCCAGATCCCACAGCAGTTGTTAGCTGCCATGTGGGTGCTGGGAATTGAACCCCAGTCCTCTGGATGAGCAGCCGGCGCTCTTGACTGCTGAGCCAATGCTTCACCTGAGTTGATGAGTTCTTAAATTCTGAAAGTCATTCACTCTCCTCCTTCAAGATGATGTTAATATTCACAAAGAGAAAGATGATTGTATTCATATATGTGATTGTGTGATTCTCACAGTGACTAAATCAGTAAACGACTTCTGATAGAGTGCTTCTCGCGTGGAAAAGTCTAGTGGACCTCACGTACATTCTAAGACGGTAGCGCTGCTTTGAGTTTTGATTCTGGATTTGATGTTTTAATTAATCAACATACTGCATGAGTCAGGATTTCAGTTATGTCCCTTGATATCTTGTCATGCTCTTCTCAAACCTTTCTTTTAAAAAGAAGATAGTTTAAGAAAATCTTATTGTATAAACTGCTTTCCTTAATATTCAAACAAGTAAAAGAAGCAAAAATCGTTGAACAGTTAGGAAGTATAAATGTCTAGATCCCCAGCTACTTAAGTAAAATCCCTGGTCTAGATTTTTATGTTTGTTTTCTTGTTTTTACTACTTTAATCGCTTTTAAAATGTGTATCAGTGTTTTGCTATATTTAACTGTAGCATGTTTATGCAGTACCCTTAGAGGCCAAAGAGGGCATCAGATCCCCAGGAACTGGAGTTATAGATCTTAGCCATTTGCATGCTAGGAACCGCCTCCTTTGCAAAAACACCAAGTGCTCTTAACCACTGAGCCACCTCTTTTGTCTCTTACTTCAGTCTTAAAACCATTCATCTTCAGTAAAGTAGGTCTGTTTCTTCAGGATCTTAGAAAGGATTTTAGATTAAGTTGTGCAAAGACCTTTATATATATAAGATTTATTTTATGTGTACTGATGCATGTGTATCTGTACACCATGTGTGGGTCATGTGCTTGCAAAAGTCAGAAAAAAGCATTGGATCCCTGAAACTGGAGTTACAAGTGGCTCTGCATCCCTGTGTGGGTGCGGGGAGTCAGACTAGCTCTTCTAAAAGAGCAACCAGTGCTGGTAACTGCTGAGCCATCGCTCTGGCCCCTGAATGATAACATCTTAAGCATGTGGTTTCTTAGTTCATTCTGCATGCCATGACAGAATAGCCAGGACTAGGAAAGAGACAAGATTTATTTGACTCAACATTATGGTAGCAGAAAGTTGAAATGGCGTGGATAGTGACTGAAATGGCCACACCCATCTGTACAGTGAGATGGAGAAGCTCAGAGAGCCTGTCTGAAGGAGAGGGGTGGGACCCAAGCTTCTCTTATAGCAATCTGCTTTCCTGGGAAGTAGCTACTGTCATGAGACTAGGCGGTAACCATGTGACCAGCACTGGTTTCAAGGTTGTTATAACCCAATCACTACTTACTAGGCCAAATCCAAGAGCTCTCCAAGCTTTCAGTGTTGCCACAACGACCAGCCTCCCTTACTTGACCCTTAGGGTACATACTCAGCCTATAGCACAAGGTACCCCACATTCCTTGGTGTCTTAGTTCCAGATAATTTAGGATCGTGTCAGTCAGCCAAGACCAGCGTGAACAAAAAAGAACTCCAGGACAATGGATATCCTTCCTGAACGTAACCAGAGCTAGGAAGTTTAGGGTCCCTTTGACACAACCTGCAGTTTCCCACAGCACATCCAGTTCCCTGTGGATCAGTGAGTTTCCCATCCTTCCTCCCCATGTACCACATGTTCATCCCAAAGACTCACTCCTGTCTGTTTTCCTGTGCCGTGGCCGCGTGCCCCAGCGTTTCTACCTCAGTAATCTATTCCCCCTCCAGCACCACATTCTGCACCAGCCTTCTACGCCCCTTCAAGGTAATTTTTCTGTCAGCTAAATCATCGCTGTCATAGTTCTCATCAAAATTCTTTAATGGCTGTCCATTACCATCTGTGGTGGTCAGGATTTCACGGCCATATATCAGACTGGTCTAAGCTATGCCATCCGTCCCCCTGACATTATCAATCAGCATAATTCAGCCAGCACTGCCAGGATCTGACAGTTCACTGCGGCCAGGTTTTTGTTGCTTCTGCACCTGCTCCTGTTTGTTGGAATCCAATGCTTCCTGGCTCTTACAGGATTCTTCCCCCAACATTTAAAAAGGGTGGCTTCCATATTCATTGCTAAAATACTGTGTAGCTAATCGGTGTATCTGATAAGCTACATCTGATAAACTTTTCCATTCTTTTGGGTTTAATACGGGATTGTCTTATGAGTTTTATATCTTAGTTTACATGTCTGTTGCATTGCAGTCAGCATTTGCTGTAGTTCAGTATTTTTCCGAGTAGACAATGGAAATATTTAAGAAACATCTGCCTTGGTCTAGACACCTAGCTTGTGCTTTGTAGAATACCTTTCTTTTGCCTGCTTTTAAGCAGTGGTTGAGTTTTGGCAGTATAATTATTAAATATTTGTCTCTATGTTTTCCAGTCACATGGATGTGTACTTCACAAGAAGTAGCATAATAGTCTGACTACATGACCTCAATCAAATTACTTAGCTTGCCCTGTATGTCAGTTTCTGATGTAAAAAATGGGATGATGAACTCTACCTTAGTAGTGTTTTTAAGTGTTTAAAGGAAAAGCACGTGTTGGCAGTGCCTGCTGCAGAGCAGATGCTCCACACATGATCAAAGGGGGAAAAGTGGTCCTTATTTTGACCTGCAGCCATAGTAACATATGTTTTTCTGTGTCTAGGTTGAATATATTTCAGGAAAAGTGTTTTTCACTACTTGTTCAGATTTGCCCTCGATGAAGAAGTTAAAGTCAGCGGAAAGACTGTTTTTGTTGATTAAGAAGCAGCTTCCCATTGCAGTCTCTTCTGTGCACAAAGGTACAGTGGGTCCCTGTTGCTTTCACCCACCTGCTGTGTGACACCAAGGTTACCCACTCAGCAGCATGTGCCTCCATGTCACACTTGTGGGAACACTGTGCTGTGTCAGTTACAGGCGGCTCAGTACCGGGTATGGTCCCATAGCTGTAGCAGGCTCCGTCACTTCTCTGTGGAACCTGCCGCCTGCCCTCTGGCTTTTATTGTTCATGTGTTTTCTTTCTAGGGATAAACATGCTTTGTTGTATTTATTTGATTTTTCGAAGCATGTAATAACCAGAATATGCATCACAAGTTGATAAAAACTGTCATCTTATACATTTTAACTGAGTGATACAGTTGGAAAATTACTTCATAGTAAAATTTTCTTCTCCTAGAACCTTAAGTGTTTTCAACAAACTTATGACCATGTATAAAGGGAGCTTAGGAGATTTCTTAACTACTCCCTAAGTTTAAAATTATATTGTATAAATAATTTAAGATCCTGATTAGAGAGATTTTTAAAGGACAGACCCTGCAGGATTTAACACTTCACTCTGATTGCTCTGTGCATAAGACATCAAAGAATTACATAAATCCATAAGATGCGATTTCAAGAAAAAATTGCAAATGAGAGAAGTCAAGACTTGAAGAGAAAACATAGAGAACTCCTGAAGCCTTGTGGGTAGTGAAGTTTCTCCCCTGTTATCCATATACTGTCATCTTGAGGAAAATAGAGTGATAATTTTCAGATCATCTTGGTAGTTTTTGTTAGCTTTTGTTTATAAGAAAAGATTAAAGTTCGCTGGGCAAGCTGGCAGCCCTTAACTTAAATTGGCTTGCGTATCTGAAATTTAATTTCATGGAAACTCATCTTAAGATTTATGTGAAATTTTTTGTGGTCTTAGATGAAACCCTATCTTGAAAAAACCAAAAACTAAAAACCCTTACAGTCTAGCTAAGTGTATTATCACTTAATAAATGGCTTCACAAACCTAATACATGGGATTTCTATAAATTTGATAAAAGTTCGAGCTCTGAATGTAAAAAAGTAAAATTTATTCTGCTTTATATTCTTAGGGTAGACTATATAAATTCCAAATAAAAGTGAAATTTTGTTCATGTAGCAATTCTTGTTTGTATAGCAATTCAGCAAAATATTTTAAAGAAATAAAGGTCATTAAACCTGGGATTGCCGAATGTAATAGACAGTTGTCTCTAAAACTTGAAGATGGGTAAACTGAGGTTTTGTTTATTTAGGAAGAATACTTAATGAGGTGCAAAGATTTATAAATGATGATCCAGGAAGTTGGTTGGAGGCCATTTCACTTTGGAAAAAACTTCTCGAACATGATACAAAACAAGTAAAAGTTTCTCAAAGAAATGCTAACCCACTAAAACGGAAAGCAGGAGAAAATGAAATTATGATTGCTAAGAAATTAAAAGTAGAGGCGATACAAGTGGTTGCCGAGAGTCATGGGGAAAGCCAGCCAGACAAACTACTGCAAAGCTCACCAGAGCAAGGGGAAGCTGTCACTAGAACGGACGATCTTCAAGAACAGAGACTCGATAGTGCCACAGACAAGGCAGCTGATGCTCAGAACCAGGAGGACTTGACCTTCAGGGTTTCCTGTCGATGCAGTGGAAATATCAGAAAGGTCGTCACCGGACAGGTATGTATGCTCATCTCCCAAGTGGGATCCTGCTGTCCAAACGCGCACCTCTTACAAATCAGGTAACATGACCCAGACAGGTGATGGGGTCTAACTGCATAGGATTGTATGTCTTTAAAAGTGCAAGTCCCTGTTCAACTTAGCTCCAGAGGCTCCAGAGGAGAAGTATGCTATTCCATATGACGTCTTTCCATTGCTTTCTGCATAAAGGCTTCCCTGGGCTCATAGGTGTCCTTTGCATTTGTGAGTCCCGATGCTGTGGTCTTAGTATGTTGGGGATTCTTCTTCATTACATCTGTATTGCCTGTTGAGGGCCACCCTGCTTGTGTGACTTTTTAGGCTTGTCACTGAGACCTAGACCACAAATACACGAATGCACACGAAGTCTGATTGTCTAGGAAAGGGTGGACACCTGTTTTCATCCCATGACCTCATTAGTTGGCCTCTACAAAGTTCAGTAGTACAAAATTGGCCTGGATTTTTAGCCAAACTTAGAATCACACAAAGGTTGAGTCTAATGAAGCTGATCTGGTCATGCAAACATACGATGGACATGCTTAACCTTTCAGTGTGTGTTCATTCCTTTATTAGAAGGATCACATCCTGGTCTTATGTCACACATCTAGGATTGCCAGAGTAGAGATCCCAAGGGGTTTGAAAGATGGAGAAAGTAAAATTCAGCCCTGTTGCCTTGCATAGGCAATCTTTGGAGGCATATTTTAATATCACTAAACTGCTGTCAGGTGCTATGACTTGGTTTTCCCCAGGCTGCTAGCTTTTGTCTATTTTAAAGTTTTTGTCTTTCTTATATTCTTACCTTTTTTATTCCTTGCCACTTTGCAGGAGGCAGGAAGAGTGATTGGACTTGCTCTCATGAGGCAGTTTGGATGGAAAGCTGATTTGAGGAATCCAAATTTAGAGGTAATGAGTATCTATCACAATTTCTACACAACAGCACCATCTCCTTTCCAGACTGCTCATGGCAACCTCACTTATAAAACGCATGTCTGCGTGGGTCCAGCAGCCTCTTTCTTTGCGACAACCAAATAGTGCAGAAAATGCCTTCCCCTGACTGGACTCCCTCGGCCACAGCCAAAGAAAAAACCCATACTGATATCACAGAGACACTACCTGTGAGCTTCACGTGTGTAACATATCTCTTTCAGGAGATGTTACTAGTGGCTTTGTTGGGCTTGTGGGATTATCTTTATCTTTTATTGGGAACAAATACATATAGAGGGTAACAAAAAAAAAAAACTTCCCTGTACTTTGAAAAACATTTCTGAATTGATTTGGCAGGCAGGCAGGTATTTTGATAATTTCTGTATAAATTTACTCCATGTGATACAACTTTATATGAGGACAGACTTAACCAAGTCAGTCAGAACCCTCTGTGAGGTGTTGGGTTTTTTTTGTCCCCCTCCCCATTTGATGTTCTGTAAAATGTAGTACCTGCTATAAATCCCATGACATGCCCAAAATATTTAGTCCCAGATCATTTGACATTGTGTTGTCTCTCCTCTTCATTGTGTCTCTTTGTTTTCTCCTTCTCTCCTTTAGCTCCAGTGTCCTGTCAAAATCATCCCCCAAATATCATCAGTTTAACTACTACCCACCATCTCATACAACTAATAATAGCTGTAATAAGTTAAAGTAATCATGTAAGAGCAAAATATAATAAGACGTGTGACTCAAACTGATGAAGAATCAAATCTTAAGTTTGATCCTCTAAAATTGATAGGAATTCAGTTTTATAAGGAGAGATGCAGTCCCTGATATTTGGTATGTGAAAATGAGATCAATGTATATTAAAATTTGAACAGAACTTTATTAAATAATTTTGCTAAAATGCATAATCAATACAATTGGAAGGTTCAGCTGTGATGTGTGACTATTTCATGCAAATCTTGATGAACATTACCCGTATTAGAAAGACTCTCATGAAAGTTCGTGTACTGAACCTGACCTTGGGCACTGGGATGTGGCTCATTGGTAGAGCATTTACCCAGCATGTGTGAGGCTCTGGGTTCAGTATTTAGACTGTAGCAGCAAGAAGGGGGAAAGACACTTTATGTGAAAGTCCCACTTGGTCCACTATGTTTGAATAGTCTGTCTCATCAGACTATCAAAATAATAAAAATTCTCATTTTTAGCTTGATGCGGTCTACTAATGATGACACGTTAAATTTTACCCAGGACTTAACAGAAGGAAGGATTGAGGCTAGAGTTTGGTTTGGTTTGGTTTGGTTTGGTTTGGTTTGGTTTGGTTTGGTTTGGTTTGGTTTGGTTTGGTTTGGTTTGGTTT